TCTAGTCGTGCAAACAGTCTCCTTCCGATTTGGCAAGCCGCAATACCGAGATCGTCACGTGTCGAAGCTCGAGCCGAAGAAAAGCCACCGGTCCCATCGATAATTCACATCACAAAGAAACTCGAGACGGATCCATTAATTATGAGCATGGAGGCGTTATTTTGCAAGCGTCTCATTCTCGGTGGTCTGAATATATATTAACTAGCTCTATTCAATCTCACCTGGCACTGTGCCTTCGTACCCTCATTATCATGCATTGCCTCAGAAAACAAGAGATATTCATTTACCAACGCGCGCACACTTCATCTAGGTTCAAATATTTACGCGCTATGAGCGTCCTCCTCCTATGTTTGCTTCCCTTTCATTTGTTTAAGTTCAACTTCCTCTTCTACACCCTTCTTCGTTTTCGAGGAACTCAGCCAGCTGTTATGTCCTTTCGATCATACGGGACTTAGTTTCTTTCTTATTTTCCTGAAGGTAACACTTCATCTCATCACTTCTCGAAAGAAGGAAGTGCTGGTTATCTGTACGGTTTAGAAAGTGGAACCAAGTACTCCTATTTGTGATCCCAAAAAAACTTCAATAGTGGTACAGTTCTGAGAGTGCAAACGCTAATCATTTGTTTTCTTCTACCTTCTAACAGGTTTGATCGAGATACTGCCAAGAGAATGAAGGCGGTGTGTCGAACGTCACTTCAGTTCCTGGCATTGCTCGCCATCGTCGCGTTATGCGACGCAACAAATTACCCCCACTTACAACTGTCGCCCTGGCAAGCCAGTTTAGCACGGCGCCATCTCTCACCCAGGTACATTCGACCGCCGTGGGCAAGAAAGAGTGAATCCCGATCCGACTCCCCGAGCGTCACCATCGCCCCCATCCAAGATCCCGTCGTTGTTAATTACCAAGGGGGAGAGGCCAGGGAAGCGGGAGACAGCACCCCGGAAGATACGATACCGGAAAGGGAGATCACCAGACGTCGCTTCAGCGTCATCCAGCCCACCCGAAAGAGACCTTTCTTCACCCGGTTCGGATCGGGCAGTTTGGTGCCATGGTTACACAATGTAGCCGTGGATCCCAACTTAATCCTGTTCCCAGGCCCTGCGAGCCAGGGACCCAGTCGTTCGGATGCCTACGACCAACCACCTCCGAGCCAGAAGCCAAAATCCAACCGAAACTCGAAGGAATGGGGTCACGACCGAACCATGGTGAATCGCGCGGTTCAGAGACCCACGACAGAGAAACCTCGGATGGACCGGATCACCACTCGGCCTCTGCCGCCACCCGCTATCGGAAACGAAATTCCCGTTTCAGAAAAGCCAGTGAGGAAACCTCAGAGAACGACCCCACCACCGGCCATCGACGAGATCCCCGAGACGACGACGACTGAGGCAGAAGAGGGATCTACGAAAGTGAGCAACTCCCTGCATGACATCGGGAAGCCAGGCAACCCCTATGCCCTCATCAATGTCATGTTCCCACCACCGAGACCGGAGGAAAGGCCATCGTTCCCGCTCAACGAAGACGAACTTCAACGCCTGAATGGACTTGAACCGGAGGAAGTGTTTCGGGCAGAGGGAGACATCCTCATTCTCAGGGGAGGGCACTATCCCAAGGAATATCAAAGCGAGAAACCTGACAATCCGATAGACGACTACGAAGCTCCATATCGAGAGCCAAAACTTCCACCTCCAGGCTTGGAATTCGGAGGTCCTGGAGGAATCTACGAAGATCCATTTGATGGAATCGACCTCAACAAAACCCACCCTTTCTTCCCATTCTTCCCTCTCCCTCCACCATATTTCTTTAACGGTTCGTGTCCAGAAGGTGAAAACTGCCCTCCCATTGATTTCTTCCCACCGAATATCACCGACGGCGAGTTCCCCTTCGGATTCCCGTTCCCACCAGGTCCTCAGTTCAATGAAGTAGACTACAACGGATCCCTACCTTTCCCACCCCCGAGAAACTCCTTCCTCGGTCCTTTTCCCCTGGGTCCAGGTCCTCCTGGAAACTTTTCGTTTCCTTTCCCATTCCCGAGACCACCTCCACTTCCTCCTGGAGGTCTACCGGTATCTCCCTTCATCAAGAATCCCCACTTACTCTACGAGGGAAAAGATGTGAAGAATCTCAGATACGGACAACCCGTCACGGAAATCGTCACAAATGATATTGAGACCACCACCAAATCCCCAGTAAGAACCACAACTCGACTGCCAGTAAGTCCACCACAAGACTTCGCAAGAAGGAAGTTAAAGGTGAAAACCAAGAACTTCGGCGAGTTTGGCTTACTTCCAGTCACCCAACAGTCCACGGAGCCCCCCGAAGATATAGGAGGCCAGCAACCTTTTCGACCTATCAGCTTCCCAGGTCCAACACAAAGAACTAGACGACCTCAACGGAGGAAGCATCGGCCCGTCGTGGTCCCCGAGGAAGAAGAGAACCCTACTTCCTATGGTCGAAATACGGACCTCCTTCTCACTCCTGTCACTATAGTGAACGAGACGTACTCTCCGAATGAGCAAAATGAACAAAAGGAAAAACAGGAGGAGGATCTGCCGTCTAAGAGGTACTTCGGCCTGAAGAGCCCTGGAGTCCTACGACGATTTGGCATATATGACTTTGGTGAAAAGATCCCTCAGGAAGAGAAGGATCTAGAAAATTTACATCACAGAGAAGAGCTCACAACAGAGACGCCTGTGATAGCCTCTTTGGAGGGAGACACAGATGTGAACTATGAAGACCCTCTCCCTCCACTGGAACCAGAAAGCGAATATGTAACCGTGAAACCTCCGGACGATTGGCGTGCACCGAGGTACCGCGTCCGCCCGACGCCGTATCGCACCGAGGAAGGGCCAAGCAGGGTTCAAGTGCAATATCCAGGGGCAGAGCTAGGGCTTCTAGCACGTGTCGGGCTCCCCCACCACCCAAACCCTGCAACTGTGATGCTCCCTCTTGGTAATGCACATTACAATCAGCCTGTGCCTTTCTTCCAGCGACGACTCAGTCGAGCCTCTGGGCCCATCCCTAACTTTCCTCCAAGTTATGTGTCATTCCAGCAGAGACTGAATGCACAAAGGGGTGTAGTCTCCTACACTTATGCACTGTAAAGCAAGCCTCACATTGGGGGACTCTGGCCAAAGACTGCAAGACACCTCTCGTTCTCTTCATTCCTCCTGTGAATCGCTGTCAGTGTCAAAGGGGCATTCCATCGGTTGACCTATGCTATTTTGTGTCAGTCCAGTCTAACAAACAATTGAATGTACTGTACCTTTCCAATATGTCCTGTTGCCTCTATACTTTGCATGAGAAGGGGTAATGATGTGTGATATCTGAATAAACACCTCTTTCGAGCAATGACGATCGCCAACCATTAAATGAGGCACAACAGTCTCTCTAGATGCCATTTAGAAATCTAAATTTAATTCTTTATGATGCCAAACAACTTCATAAGCCCTGAATTTGTACTTTTCAACTACTTAGGTTCACTGAAGATAGCTTAAATAGAAACATCAGTAACCTCAAACGCAGAGCATTACTTGGCCTCAGAAGGTCTTTCTTGTAGCATTGTGCAGTACTCTACTTATATATATGAATGCTGCCCTGCTTTTCAAAATGACTTTTTCCAATAGTGTGGAAGGACTGCAAACTAAGCAAATAAACTTTATTTTAAAAATTTGGAAATACAAATTTTCACATGGCATATCTACAGCCATGACTACAGGGAAGTAAAGTGAGGTACTGTCCACATTGGAATTAGCTGCTTTTGTTGCAATGACTCATTCCTAACATTTGCCAAATCACCTTGTGTTCTCATTTGCCAAAGCAAGTAATCATTTCAGCTATTAATAGCATCAATGAAAGTTTGCTTCCCTGGATATTTGTTGTAACTGGTGATGGACTAATGTCTCATCTCAATCAAGAAGAAAAAAGTGAAAGCTAGATCCCATGTTATCATTTTCATAGTCGTGTAAATAATAATTTCATAGTAATTTTAAAATGCTACCAACATACCAGGTATAGTTGTGCAACTTCATATGGATTAATAGAAAGGATCTATTCTGCTCAAGTCATCAAGCAGACATTTATTAAAAATTAGTATTTGGTCCCTATTTTAGGATTACTCCCCAAAAACATATGGGGTTAATGATTATTTATGGTTTGAATGTGGCCAAGGTATTCTAGTACATGGTTCAATATATGCTGAGGTGTATCTCATTTCTTTGACCTCCCAAGCTGGAGTTTTTAGAAGCTTTGAAAAATTATACAAAGGAGCCCTTGAGGAGTGGAAATCTGTTGTCACTCTAATCCTAGTAGAAGTCAATTTACTTGCAACCTCTTTTATGAGATACTAACTAAAAACAAGCAACATACTGAGTCAGCTGCTCCAGCACAAAGTCTGTACCTGAATATATACTGGTTTCCAACTGAACACAATTGCAGTGCCAGTGAAAAGGTAGGAGTGACTTGGGTCCATCTAGGCACCATAATGACAATGATGAGATAATAAAAAAAAGCAATAGCTGGCACTGATAAATCAATGCAACATGCAGTTTATCTTACTCAAACTGCTGTGCCAAATCTATGACAATGCTATGTATAACATGCAAAGTGCTTCTTTCAAAAGGACTTGTACACTTGGCACTGATTCAGGAGCTCTGCATATCTGACTCCTGAATTCACTCTGAATTCTCCAATACCCATTATGATCCATCGTCTGACTCAAGTGACAATGCACCATGTCCTCATGGATTTAAGACACCACAAAAAGGGACCATCTCAATCCTCAATGGTAAATCCAATGAGCAACATCTACATACTGTACGGATATCTACACATTATGAACCATTTGCAAATATGTTTTCCAGACAATTATCATTCTGACCAGGGTTTCAGGTTTTTCCACTTGGTCTCAGACAGATCAGGAAATGACCAGTTGTGCTAAGATTCTTCCACCTGTACCTCATAACCCAGCCATGGAAACTTTGACTGCACAATGGCCATGCTTATGCAAAAGCCCTCTTATACACCACTACCAGAATTTAAATATGTTATAATGCATGATATTGCAAAAAAAAACAATTTGGTTTATGAAAACCTTGTCATAGTGTTTATGAAGTGAGACTCACCAAGATCTATCCTGTCAATCCCATTCTCTTCTGTCAGGGGATGGTCATGGAGATGTAGGTAAACCTCTATTGCACACCGGGCAGCTCGAAAATAAAATTCGTGAGATCGCAACACATCTTCTAATCTCAGAAGACCAACGTATGATCTCAGCGTCAGTTTCCTTAGACAATACGTATGGAAGTCAAACTGGTCCTCGAGGATCTCACTGAAATGCTGTCCAAAAGAGATATAACATTCCTTCACCAATCCACCAATGTTGAAGCAAGATGGAAGAATTTGAAGGAGTACCCTGTCAATCTCATGGCATTTCTTAAGGGCTTCCCCATACTTGGCCAATTTCCGGTATGCTTGAGCACACTCATTCTGGAACCACATGCACTGCATTTCATTCAGGTTCTCCATGGCAGGGACCCCCTCCTACAGGGCAAGAATAGTACAGAGAGGTTAGAGCAGAGATTCCAGTCAGCTTGAAGTAGCAATTCTGTTTAAATACAATATTGTACATTTTCTAGGATAATTGTGATTGTCTTACTCGAGTGAATTTTGAGCAAATCTCCTCAGCTTCCTTGATGAGCCCAGCTCTGAGCATATACTTGGCACACTTTGAATTTACGTATCTGTCAGCAGTATCCAGACCTTGAGCCTCTTCTAGGCACTTGTATGCTGATGTTAAATCCCTTGCATGCTGTCAATAGATCCAGTAATTATTGGCATCATATTCTGTCAACATGAATCTTTACAGTAGGCCTACCATATCAATCCAGGGATGCAAAGCCAACCTTATAAATCTTTCCCTTCACAACGAAGAGCTCAATGAGTGTGGGAGTGTGTTCGATTGCAGCATCTATATAGTGAAGTGCCTTTGTGCTTTGAGACAGATAATCAAAAAGCTGCGCAAGGAAATAGTATACCCACAGGAGACTGGATGCTGGTTGCACAGGAGAATCTTCTGCAAATGAAGATATAACAAATTATTCTTGTGGGCTATGTACTTTCAAACCAGCAGAGTAACAGCAAGTGTTACATGACTCACCAGTGTCGTGAAACTTTCCAGTTTGCTTCAGAGAATCACAGTAGCCCATTACAAGTCTCTCAATTGCTTGGACTTTCTCTTTGTCCTTAAAAAGGGGCTTGAGATCAACAAACAATGGAGGCACCCCTTTTGTCAGGGATACTTGCAGATATGCATCCACTGCCTGTTCAAACTGTTTCCCTGAGGAAATAGAAGACCAGTAACAGCTTAAGTACCAGGACATCAGAATGACTGAAATAGCATTTCCATTCCAGCTTGGATCTAACAACAACACATTTAAGATTTTTGCACATTTCTGTTTACCCAAATCCTACTAAACACTAAATACATTCAAAACAGTTGAATGGCTTTCTGTTCTGAAATATGGCAAACGGTTGAGAATTAGTGGAATTAAAAAAAAAATATTTTATTTGTTGAGGAATGACTGAGAAGCTTATCTTTTTACTTCAATTTTCACTTTTTTTCCTTATTATTATTATTATTATTATTATTATTTTTTTACCCCAGGCAATACTAATTTCAAAAAAAAAAAAAAACAGAAACAAAATACATGTGGACCAGAGAGATTTAGGCCAATGCATCATTGGTCAGAATTTTGTCACCTTGAACATTTAATTCCTAAAATGACCATTATACTGGAGCAAAGGTTGCCCTACAACCTTAGGCTTCCATTAAACTAACATTTAACAAATGGAGCTCAATATGTTTAATTGTATCTGATGAGACATTCCTGGCCCTTGAAATGGTTTAAATTAAAAAGGACAGCAAATTTCACAAGCACAAACAAGACCAAAAAAATTACATAGAATGGAAGTGAACATAATATGCTATTTTCAAAGGCCTTTTTCAGTTCCAGGTTGAGTTAGTCAAAGCTCTGATAAGGACATACAAAAGTGAAAACCACATACAATCTCTAATTAGTGTCTATGGCATATTATCAGCCTAACCTGAGAGAAAATCAAGAGGTATTCTCTGTGGGAGAATGGCTTTGGGGAACTTCTCCCGTATCTCCTGATAGATCCTCAACCTTTCATCTACTGTGGAAGGCTGAAGAGCTTTTTCTAGAGCACCATAATAACTCCTATTTTCTGGGTTTCGCTGGAGGAGTTCCCTGTATATCTTGGCTGCATCTGAGGTTCGACCCAAGGCCAAGAAGAGCTCCCCTGCAAACAGCAATACAAGTTTGGCATTAAATGTTTTACTTGCATGGGGGGGGGGGGGGGGGGGAAAAAAACTAATTAAAAAATTTTTTTTTTTTTTTTAGGGGGGGGGGGGGGGGGGGGGGGGGGAATAAAAACTAACTGAATAATATTTTTCTTCTTTATTGATACACTCATCTAACCTCTAGCCCAGTTCTGAAAAGGTTTAGCAAACTATCATTTTGGGAAAGTCCAAACTTACAAGCATGTAGCCTTTTGAATGATTAAGTGAGAGTTCCCTAAAAAAAAAAAAGAAGGCACCTGGGGTACCATTAGTATCAAAGGAAATTGGTCTGAAGCAGCTAAAAGGAACAATTCACATAGCAATTTCAAAAGTGGAGAGGAAGCTGAAGAAACTACAAGAATGGAGGAGGTATTATCCCAAATAGTATTTTAGCAACTCTATATCTACTCTTTAAATTCAGGATTTTATTTGACACAAGCATTACAAGATTATGTTTTGACTGGACCATACAGGGTCGTGCAAAAGTTCCCGCACACTTTGAAAATCTCATTTTTTCACTAATCAATGGATTTTTGGCAATTCTGATGTGTTTTTATTTTTATTTTTGATACAAAATGTTTTCATTATAGTAAATTTCAGTCCTTATTTGAATTTTTTTCTCTGGTTCTATGACACCTAAAGAGAATCAAAGTGCTAATCAAAGTGAACAGGAACTTTTGCACAACCCTGTATAAATGCCTAAATTTCTCATACAATGATGGTACATCAGTATATTTTTGGACATGAAACATCAAGACAGGGTTCAACTAAACTCATGTTTTACAAACTTTGAATGATCTTGAATCCTAAATAAATTTCTTGGAAAAAAAATGATGATGATTCTGGTTCCCACAACAATACCAACCTTTTGCTTCAAGGACGGAGCACTTATCACAAATGAGGTCCTCATACTTTTCCAGATGGTAATTTTAAAAAAACTCGGCAAAAAAAAATGTTTTCTGGGACCATGCGTCCTGATGGCAGGACGCATTTAAAAAAAAAAATGAGCGTGGTCCCACGTGGCGGACAAGCAAAAATAGGCTGGTCATCAATGTGTTAAGAAACAGCATGACATTTCATGATTGGGAATGCTTACCCTGTAGCCTTCCAAGTCTCTCATCTGTATTTGGAGCAGAGAGAGATCTCGAAGGATCTGGATGTTGTCTCTGTCTCTTTTCAGTGCATTTTTGTAGCATGTGATGGCTTCATCATAGTTCTTGTCTGATCTCTGTAGTAAGCCATAGACGTGCCAGCATACATGCGACTGAAGGTCATTGCGGAGTCCTCTCTTCACATGTTCATAGGCTTCCTCCTTTCTTCCAAGGCAGTTCAGGATCAGCCCCTTCATCACCAGGGTTTCTGTTTAAAGTAAATGAAGAAAGTTGTGAGTATCAGCCTTTATTTTCATCAAATCAGAAGAAACATATGAGGAAGACTGGTACAAAAGGGAGATAGTAATGCACCATAATTATGAAACATACATGAATATACATTAGCATTTCAACATTATGTTCATGTTATAAAAAAAAATAAGTGTATTAGTGTTTCAAATGCATATATTTTTGTGGGCAGTATACATGGAATGCCTCTCTGGGGTATACACAATGAGACCCATGGCCTACCACAAGGCCAGAATGCACACATTTTGAGAGCAAACTTGGGCATTCTTCTCTACTCAAGAATGAAGAAGCATTTTAACTTCTGCTGTCCAATTTTCTAATGGTCAGCAGTGGTAGCCCACCATTGTTGAAGTCTTCATGCTGCGGTTCTACAGGGTAGACCATAAATATCTATAATACATGTAACTTTTCTATTTCTGCAGGCCCAAGAAGAGCAAATTAAAAAAGGTCTTGTCTCTTTGGTGGCCAATCTTGAGTGCTTCAACAGGACAGCTCTGGCTTAATGCTCAAAAACTTGTCTAGCTGACCACTTAGCAGAAATTATATACTAACATCAATGGCCCCCTTAAAAATCTGACTGTACTCCAATAGATTACTGTGTGAGGTGTCTGCTGGAAATAAGTGCCCAAAAACGAAACCAGGTGACCTGACTCAATTAAGGCTAGTGCTGATAGAGGGGTGGAACCATGCCCATCCAATGTAATTGACCAGCAGACTTGAAAATTGCAGGCTGCAGTCAAGAAGAAGGGGGACACATGGAAAATTTTCTGAGAATGGGTATTGTGAATCTTTGGGTCTCATTGAGATTCAGTTGAATCTATTAGAAATTATTAATTAGAATAGGATATAAAAGACTTTGATTTGGTGTGAATATTTATTAAAGATAATCCACCCTGTAGATCTAGTAAATTCTATCATGTTGCTGTATAGATATCCATGACCTCTTTGCAATAAAGATAGGCTCACAAATCCTAGTACTAACATCACATGAAACTTGACCTGATGTAACAATGACTGAAAATTTAATTTAACATGCATAAGATGCATCAGACAACTTCCTCAAGCTGCATTTTAAAAACTAGACTTATGAATTGTGATCAGCTTTAGCTTAAAGTATGCAAAGCCCAGCACCACTTCTTCAATATTTAATCTTGCAAGGGGGAAATATTGCAAAACCAAAAGAGGTGAGGAAAAATACCAGTACTAGATTTTCAAGCTTCATGTTGTTCTTAAAGAAAAAAAAAAGTCAGGATGAAAAAGGGAGGATGTAGTCATCCCATCACATCCATTTCTCTAATACTAAAATTTCATAGGTTGATTTTCTAGCAAGCAACTTATTGCAGGCCACTGTCTCAAGAACTTAAGCAATTCATCATTATTGGATGGATCAGAGAGCAGTTTCACAAGCAATTCTGTCACATGACAGAAGTTGAAAAAAATTTGTTCCATGAAACCGTAGCTTTAGTTTATGCCTCTAGGAGCACTGCAGCAGGTGAGGCTTCTCTTACTTTAATTTTTATACCAGTTCCCTTCCTTATAATTGTTTCAAATTAGCCAAATGAACAGTTCTACTAAGTAGGAGAGAAACTTGAAAGGAAAAAAAGAATACATAACTCACCTCCATGCTCATGGAATTTTGGATTGGACAGGATTTGCTTGGCAAATTTCAGTCCATTCTTGTACTGCTTGTGTTCATAGCATTTCTGGAATATATACATAATAATCAAAATCCAACCACTTAGATGTACCTGACATGTAACCTACCAATATTATAATTTCTTTATAAGATGCCCTGCATTGATACACAAATGCAAAAGCCAGGGGAGTGCAGGCAGTCAAAAGTCTTGACATGACATGTATGAAGATGCTTTTGGAAAGAGGAAAGATGTTCTTTGTACAACCAGCTGTCTTTTTCCAAATGCATTCATTACCCAGCAAGGAAACATAGCTTAAAACTTTAATTTGCATTTGTTCTGTCTGGTACCTCTTCATGAAGAATTTATCATTCTGGTTACTACTGAGCTTTTTAGCATTGATGAATGTTCAAAATGTATTCATTCAGTACATGTTCAAATTATGCATCCATGACTGAAGAAAACACATCTAGCAGATTACAATTATTGAAGAATAGCCATGGGAATTTGATAAGGCATGATGCCAAAACTGCTCTTGTAAACAAGAATAATCATCTCAAAGAATAAGAAGAAAGTGTAACTTTCTCACTCTGAAGAATTTAAGCTGCATCACACCTGATAAAAAAAAAGCCTAACTTTAAGTAAGGTCTTTAACAATAATGAAGGGCTGTAATAAAGCCTTTATTCCCTATGCTACACATCAAAGGAAAGCACAATGACTCAATATATTCATCAACATAGCTTCAAAGTCTCATTCTTTCTGCCATTTCTTCATCCTGCCACATACTCCCTAGACTCAATTTAATTTTACAAATAGAATAGCTATACAAAAATCACAAAAAAATGAGATTTTTCAAGCAGGATGATTTTCAAAGTATTTTTAATTGTGAAATCCAAGTTTTATACAATGCTTTAGGAGGCCTATACTACACCAACATGAGGCATATCAAATGGGTCTAACCTTTGATCTATAAGTTTATGATATAATTGATGCATGGAACTTACTAAAATGCGTTTGAAGAGTGCATTTTCCTTTGGAGGTAATGGATGACTGGAAGGCATTTTTCAAGTCTGGAGTAGCCTATTACACCCTATGATCACCAATGAGGACTTGGATGAAGAAATGCCTAATCAGTTGATAGAGGCCAATTCTCAACCAAGAATGGCCAAAAGCCTGAAATATTTCTAGCAGAAATACAGTACAATGGACAACCTGGGTAGAAAAAGAAGAATGAACACCACCAGCCTCAGGAACTTAATATAGTCATTAACATTTCTTAGGATGGTTAATAGCAGTGATTAAAATTTCTGACATTAAAGCCAAGGCCCTAGCAAAAATGCGACCTCAAAAGAAAAGATGACAACTACCATGATATCCATGGTTACGGTACTCAAATCTGTAACTCCTCCAAGACTGAAAAGTCAGGTGGCGTTTTTCTAGTCTGATCAGCAGTTATCAATTAATATTTTTCTTATATTTGCACATTATAATGGCAGGACATAGTTTACAACCTTCCATAAAGAGCACAATACCCAATATAAGGCTGACCCTTGTCTCCTATGGAGAATGACAACCACAAGTTCCAGTCAAGGTGTAATAATTACATACTGCCTGTTTTTCCCAACTTCTCATCACATCCCTTTTCTATAACTCTCCAATTCAATCCTGCCTTTTTGTGCATATATCATTATAATTATTGTGCCAAAACATACCCTACACATCAATGACTGTTAGGAAATGGAAGACAGATCAGGCAAGCCTTATTCAAATTGACAATACACTCAGCCATGAGAAGATGCATTCTCACAGACATAAGGGCTGAATGTTACCTGCTTTGAATCATTATTACAGCAAAATTTAAACATTTCCTTTAAAGCAGCACCTCTGGCTACAATCAGGAGATGGTCACCTAGGAAAGATATCCAGCAAAATGGTTTCCATTTGATTGTCCAAACCATGTCTTCCATTGTGCAATGGGAAATATATTCAGGAATTCATATATACTATCAGTTATAAAAAAAAAGGGAATCCTCAAGAATTAGGTTTTTTGCAGTGGCTTGCAATTTGAGCTTAAAAAAAAAGTATGCATACGAAAAAGTTTCTGTATCACCTCTGAGTAACTTAATTTGACTCCCCAATTTAATCCAGGATCAACCATGCAACATCAGGTAGAGCAGGGATGTCAAACTCAAATCAGTTGGCGGGCCTCATTCCTAACATAGCAGGTATCTGTGGGCCACACCCATAATTTTTCACCGAAATTTGTGCCGAAAGTCAATCCTAGCAGAAATTTCTAGAACAGACGGCAGGCCGGATGAACCATGTCTGAAGGCTGGATCCGGCCCGCGGGCCGTACGTTTGACACTCCTGAGGTAGAGTAAAAAAGTTTCCCAAGGAGTCCAACAAAATGAAAAATATTCTGTGCAACTCTGATTTCTTAAATGCACTTTTCAACACAGTTCTCCTGCTCCTCAATGTAAGACTGCCATCTTCTCATTAACTAGTGGTAGTATTAAGTGTATGTATCTTTGGGGGTTTGTTGAAACCATTACCAAATCTCTCTTCAAAAAACACTTCAAGAAAGATAGTTATGTCCAGAAATAATTTTTTTAGTTCTCCCTTACCCATTTTCGGTAGTGACACAACAAACTTTACAATCTAGGAAAGAAGAAATGAATGACTGGATACTCTTGAAATTTGCACTTCACAGAGTTGGAAATTTCTGCAGGTGTCACTTTACCCTCTTCCAAATACTTGTAATACCAGAGTGCAACTATGGAAATTTTTTTTACTGTCCCTCATAGTTAATGTGCTAGATATGTGGCTTTAGCCAAAAGGGACAAAAAATCCTATATGTCCTTGCATAGAGAAAACCAGAAAGCAAGGCCTAAATGCACCCCTAATTACTATGACTTAATGCGCACCTAATTACCATTATACTCCATTTCTCAGTTCCCTGGGAACTCTACAGCTTCAGCAAACTATATACTTGAGGATTTGAAGAAGTTGTACAAATGTGGACAGAACTTACCCTCAGGATATCATATCAACACTACTTATATTTCAGAGTGTTTGTCTGTCCATGATGCACAGCCATGCCTCTGATCCCAGTCCAACCAAACTTTGCAAGGCTTCCTCATTTGGTCCATGGATGGTCATAGGCTAAGTAACATTTCAAAATTTGGACCCCCCCCCCCACCCACAGTACCTTATTTAGTGCTGATTTGGCCAATTAACTTTTACATACCCCCCAAGGAGTCAAAATTTTGGTTGCTCATTAATAAACTTCAAGTTATAACAGGTAGCATGCTACTGGAATTTTGCAACTGGTTGTGTAGTAAAAGCTACATATTTTAAACAATTTCTAACCAGGTTTCCCAAAGAGGCATTAAAACAATATTAAACCCTCAAATATGGGACATATACAATGTTCACCCATGCAATGCCAGGTACTTCTGTTGGTAAGAATTATATGCTGGCATAGAGGCTAATTTAATTAGAATTTTTATTGAACTTTCTTTGTCTAAAACTCACATCCTCTTGGTTCTGTTGGAACTTAATGCTATTCTTGTTTTTTTTTTTTCTCCTTTTTTTCTCATGATGCTGGTACTGAAAGAGTTCAATTCTAAATCCAATTCAAAAGCTTTTAGCCTTGATATATGGTAAATCCCATGTTCTCATTTCTAGTTTTTAGTTATTGCAGAACATACAACACAAACATAAAGACAAATCTTACCTTGCCCAAAGGAACTTTACCATCAAAGATACAGCAGGGCAAGAACTTATGCTCTTTTAAAAATGGTGAATCTTCAGATATTAATATTTATGAACCTATATGCATTTTCTACAGTAGCAAGGTATTTTTTAAGGATTACTTAAATTAATATCCTTAAATTTTCATTGAAATGATACTCTCACTGAAATAAGCACCTACAGGAAGCACAGGTTCCTACACAGGTTATGATTTGCCTAGCATATTTGCAAGATGAGGATTCAGAATAAACTAAGCTAATCCAAAGTCAAGGAGGAGTTCTTACCAAGTCTAAGGACTCAATAAGAGTCTTAACTTACAATGTGCATCATATATAGGAGGTCTTGCAAAGTTCACTATGAACTGTAATGTTTTTCCACGGATTGCCTTGATTGCTCCAAGATGTCCTCTTGAGGCTTGAGTTCCTTGATCACTATATGGCATAGGTTTACTCAATTGATGGAAACAATGGTAACAAATCTGGCAGTTGCTGCTTGCTTGCCCAGAGCAACTGGTAGAATTGTTCTTTTTTTTTATCAAGAGGGCTTTCTGACTTATGGTAATCCTTGCTGCAAACAAGGTAAGTTATAGCTAGGTAAAGACCTGAAATTATACATAGGGTAAACTAAATAGGCCTAAGCTTAATGGCATTAAATATTTACTATGTATTATATAATAAATATTACTATGCTCTCCATATATATATAACTTTGCAATGCACTATTAACTTACACATCAACAGATGATGCCATTGTGTGAACCTGCTGACAGTTGATGCAGTATCTTCATGGATCTATTACCTTTTCGTTTTTTACGTAAGCTGGTGCCTTAATTATAGGCAAGGTCTCTGCAGTACTGTATGCATTTATTTTTTTTTATTTCAAGTTTAAATAATAAATTTGAAGAAGAAAACCACCAGCCACTCTCCCCAGCAGTGGGTTGTTGGCCCTGGCCTAGGCCTAAGCCTAAGCCTAACGTCATGCATTGTCCTCTTGGCAGAGCAGTCGTCTCATAGTTTTGAGTGCTGTGAGCCTACGTCGACGGTTAATATTATGGTTGGCTATATCTATAGTAAAAAAAGGATCATCAATACTTCGCTGAAAACAGGCCGCATACAATATCCGTAGGACAGTCAAGTCGGTCTCAGGCATGCTCGCGTGCTGTCCGGAGGTATCATGGCGGCACACATAGGCTGAGATTGGCAACGCCCGACGCACGATAAATCCAGATATCCCCTAGCCACGTCCAAGAAAAGAAAAGCTCCGTGAACAGACACCTCCCATCGGCCTCAGTTTGAGTGAATTCGTGAAAACAAGTTTTTTAGATTTTCAGTAATTGCTGA